TTTGAGACAGGGTCTCACTAGGTAGTTCAGTTCAGCCTGTCCTTGAACTCACTGTGGAGCCCAGGCCGGCCTCAAACTCACAAGATTCTCCTGCCTCAGTCCCCCTGCTGCTCAGGTAACAGGTGTGTGTCCCCACGTCCAGCTAAATAAACACCCTCTCAAGACACATACTCTCTCCATGCTCCCAGATTTAAGAATTCCTGGCATCTAAGGCCGGGGATGTAGCTCAGTGGCAGAGCGCTTGCTTAGAATACGCAAGGCCCTGGGCTTGATCACCATCACTGGGGAAAAAAATAAACAATTCAGAAGAGTTACTGGTGAATTTCGATGGGAAATGTTTACTTTTTTCACAGGCCGCTGACGCCCTAAAAGGTGAGACACAAGTGGAGTGGTCCCGGGCACTTACTTTCTGGAGATTCTATCCTAAAACAGCACACACACACACACACACACACACACACACACACACCCCACTGTATCAGGGGATAAAAGTAGGAGGGTCAGGCCGGGGAGATGACTCAGTAGAATAAGTGTTTGCCTGGCAAGCGCAAGGGCCTGAGTTCAATTCCCAGTTCCGCAAAAAAAGAGAGAGAGAGAGAGAGAGAGAGAGAGAGAGAGAGAGAGAGAGAAAGTAGGAGGGTCACAGGTTGGAGCCAACCTGGGCAGTAGAGAAAGGTGCTCTTTCAAAATAAAAATTTTTTAAAGAGGGGAGGAAGAAACAAAGATCTGGGTGTAGTGGGCATGGCTGTCATCCCAGCACTCTGGGAGGCTGAGGCAGGAAGGTGACAGGTCAGAACCCAACCTGGGCAACTTGGAAACTTAGCAAGACACTGCTTCAATAAAAAATTAAAGAGTTAGAGATGTAGAACAGTGTAAAGGCCTAGAGTTCAATTTCTAATACCACACACACAGAAAGAAAAATATTATGACAGATAGAAAGATAGAAATAGAGATACAGAGATATAGATTAGTACATATAGATATGTATATAGATATACATATATAGATATATTCAGCTACAAAGAATATTATATATATAATATATATAAAACCACTCAGCTATAAATAAGAATGAAATGCTGTCACTTGTATAAAAATATTACAAACGGGAAGATGTCGTGTTAAGCAAAAGGAGCCAGACACACCGACAAGCACCTCATGTTCTCTCTCAGATGTGGAAACTAAAGAGTAAATAAATAAGCTAGATGACCTGAAAGTAGAAGGGGACTAGGAGGGACCAGGCCCGGCTCTGGAGGGCAGGGAACGAGCGCAGGAGATAGCAGCTGCCCACGGCAGGGGAGGGACGGGCGCTTCCTGGAGCTGTCCCACCGGGCCCCAGTCCCCTGTACCACGCGTGCTACTTACAATAATGCAAAAAGAGGCACATATGAAACAGGATCACACGTGTTTTCACCACTGAGCCAGGATGGTGCTGCTCCCGCAACCCTAGCTACTTGGGAGGCTGAAAATCATTCAAGCTCACAAGTTCGAGACCAGCCTGGGCAACCCAGCAAGAACCTGTTTTAAAAAATCAAAACCCTACCAATAATTCTGTCATCTTACCTAATATCTAGTCCATATTCCCATTTGCAATTGTCTTTTTTTTTTTTTTTTTTTTAAACAGTCTGAAGATCAAGCCCAGGGCTGTTCTACCATGGAGCTACGCCTCACTCTTATTTTTTATTGTTTTGGTACTGGGAATCAAACTCAGGACCTTGTACTTGCCAGGTAGGCACTTGTGCCCCTGAGCTAAATCCCTGGCTCTCAGTCTTTTTGAGACAGATCTCATTTAAATTGCCCTGACTGTCCTCAAACTTTCAATTTTCCTGCCTCAGCCTCACAAGTAGCTGAGAGTTTAGTTGCCGCTTTTCCCAACACTGAGCAGCCACCCCCACCCTCAGATTTCGCCTCCTCCCCAGCCCAGAGGTCCAGGGTCTGCTGGGCCACACTCAACTTGGGTCCCATTGTCCCTCAAGCCCGAAACCTTCCCAGAGGTCACAGAGTTCCCTGACGACCACTGGCTCCACTACGGCCCTCAGTAGGGGAAGCGCTTCACTTGGACAGCATGACGGCAGGGCGTGCTGGGAACCTAGCCGGGTCTGGGACTTCCAAAGTGGGGACTGAGGCTTCACCACAGGCCTCCTGACCTCCCAACCTGGTGAAAAAGAGACGAGTGTTGGCCCTGAAAGATATATTTAAACACTCCAATGGTATTTAAGAACTTCCTTTTTGTCTCAGAGAAGAAAAGCCCAGAATTCACCATGTAACATCTCTCCAGATAAATGATCCAAGTCCTGCGTGGTGCAGAACCTTTCCTGGATGGAAGACATTGGCTAACCTGAAACCAAGGCCTGGTCACATGGCCTCGAATTCTTGGTGTGTTAGTCAGCGCTCTATCACCGTGACAAAATACCTGATATGATAAATTGACAAGTAGGAAGGACTTTGGTCCCTCTGCTGTGGAGACACAGGGAATATCACGGTGGGGACATGTGACTGAGGTCTGCTCAGAATGGCCAGGAGACTAAGAGAAAAGCACTGCATCCTACCATCCTCTTTAGGGGCGAAGCCCCAAGTGACCAGGTAGGCCCCTCCAAAAGGTTCCACCACTCCCAACCATGCCATCAGCCAGGGACCAAGCCTTCTGCTTGGGGCTCATTCCTGACCCAAATGGGGGCACCTGGAGTCAGGATCCTCCTGCCTCAGCCCCCTGAGCAGCTGGGACTCCAGGTCCACACCACCACACCCAGCCTGATGGGCTGATTTTTAAGGCCTCTTCTTTCTTTCTTTCTTTCTTTCTTTCTTTCTTTCTTTCTTTCTTCTTTCTTTCTTTCTTTCTTTCCTAACTTCAGTTTTCTTCTGGGATTTGATATTCTTTTCATGGTTTTAAATTTGAGGTTTGAGCAGCAAGTGCAGGGAATTCCCATGTATCCCTCTCCACCACACCCAGTTCCCCCAGTACTGTTAATGTCTTATGTCTGTACTACAGGTTTGTGACAATGGATGAACCGATGTGGACAGTAATTAGGAGCTTACATTCGGCCTCACTCCTGGGTGACACATGTGACAGATGTGACAAATGCATGCATACCTTATATGCACCATCATTGTATCATACAGAACAACTCTCTGGCCTTAAAAAAAATCCCCTGGGCCAGTGAGATAGCTCACTGGACTAAGAAGCTGCTTAGTGCAGGGACCAGGATTTAATCTTCGGCACCTCATGCTGCGCTGGCCCCACCCCCAGGCATGCTGAGCTGGCCACTGAGACCAAGCATGGTGGCGCACGCCTGTAATCCCAGCACTGGGGAGGCTGAAAACAGGAAGATCACTATGAGCCCGAGCTGCTTAGTGAGACCCTGTACCAAAAATATTAATTAATGAAATCCCATCTGTTCCGCCAGCCTCTCTCTCTCCCCCTGAACAATCATTCACTGTTTACACCTATTAGCATGCCTCTCCCAGGATGCCACGCCCTTTCCGTTCCACTTAGTGAAGCTTCTGCACATTTCAAAGTCAAAACAGTATAAAACGATAAGCCATTGCAAAGGTTTTCTTCAATCTCACCCCGAGCGCAACGCCACCACAGACGGAAACCTGGATCAACCAGTGTACTGTTTCTGCAACATTTCTGTACGTCTGAGATGATTTCATGTTAAAAGGCTTAAAATATTTGCTTGAATTACAAAACAAGAGCAGTGGAAAATGAGAGCCCATGCCTTCTGGAACTGTCCCGGGGGTACAAATACAGCTGGAAGGACAAACAGCTGTGGTGGAAAGCGAGTGGCCGAGATCGGGACAGCCCTCTTGAGAAAGAGGGTAAATGTTCGCCTGCTGGTCTCTGTGTGACCGCAGTCAGCAGAAGCAGCCGGAGGCCTGTCCTGGTGATCTTCTTCAAAGCCCTCCAGTGGCGGCGGTAGCTGTGCAGGCGACCCGCTCTGGTGCCACCTGTCGAGGCCCCACACTCACATGGCCGTGCAGCCCCTGGGCACCCTTGGTGCAGCGTTTACTTTCTTTCTTATGCTTTCTGCAAAACACAAGGATCGGGCTGGAGAGATGGCTCTGTAGAATAAATGCTTCCCTGGCAAGCGCAAGGGCCTGAGTTCAATCCCCAGTTCTGCAAACAAACAAGGATCCTGTCGCCTCAGCTCAGCCTCTGGAGGCTAATTTTACCTTTTAGTCGCTAGAAGGTGAGGCGATTGTATTTTAAAATATTTTATCAAAGGAAAAAGCTACCCTTCACTTTGTCCGCCCTGAAAGGACTCTTTTTCCACCGTGCATGCAGGTACCACTCTGGCCTCTCCTCTGCCTGCTCATCATATGTGGTGAAGAGTTTTGCCTGTCACCTGGTAACTGACTGTCACAACTCTCAGTGACCGCCTAGCACCCCATCCTGTGTGTCCTGTGACATCCTGTGTCAGTGAACATGACAGTGTTTGGGGCTTTTTTCCATCTGAGCCGATTTTGTTTTTCATGACGGATGGATGAATCCAGAACCTTCAGTCCTGCTTGCCTGAGAGCCTGCAGGGCTCTCTGAATCCCGAATCAGGCTTTTGGGCGGAACTAACCATGTTTGTGACAGGGCTGTAATTCATGTCTGGCTGCCAGGCGGCTCTGAACCACCGGTGGCACAGTGTGACTGTCCCACTGAGGATGCAACAGTCCCATCAGATGGCACAAGCCTCCTAAGGAACAGGCATGCATGCACCACCTGTGGCTCAATGTGGAGTTAATGTATAAACAGGTGGTGATGCCCTCAGAGGTCCCACTTACCACCTCTGATGGTTCAAGCCATATAAGGGCACTTTGGGCTCCTGTCTTCTGTTTATGAAGTCTCAGGGCTGTTCCACCCTTATTCCAAATTGGAAATAAATCAAGCCACAAAGGGCTGGAGAGGGAGAGATTATAGAGCCAGTGGCATTGGGGGCTGTAAGTCAGAAGGCTTGCCTGGGCCACCACGTCACCACACCAATGGGGACCGTGGGGCTTAGAGGCACGGTGGCATGCCAAGGCTCTGTGGCGTTTCAGAAGGCGACAGGCCCCAGAACCAGGACTCTGGATGGTTTGGAGCCCGCCTCCTGGCGTTCTGGTCTGAGCACCCCAGGGAAGTCCAGCAGAGGGCGCTCTCACCAGCCAGGTCCCTCCTGCCAATGGCCACCAGGCCCTCAAACAGCGCCTTGCTGGGGTTTTCGCCAGCCAGGGTCACACCATGCAGCCAGATGAGCAGCATCCGGTGGCCGTGCTCCTGGTAGCTCCTGGTGCCTGCAGGGAAAGAGCCCCACAGTCTCCCTTAGCCCAGCTGCTCCGGTCTGGGCAGCCAGGAGGAGGATACCTCTCAGACGGAGATTAGGCTTTTGTTTTCCTTTCTGAGATGGGGTCTTGCTAAATCACTCAGTTGCCCAGGCTGGCCTGGAACTTGCAATTGTCCTGCCTCAGCCTCCCAGAGTACTGGGATTACTGGCCGGCACACCATGCCTGGCCTGGTCCAGGTGTGTCTTGGGCTCTGGAATCTCTCAGCCCTGGGCCTTCTCCTGAGCATCCTCATACACTCTCTCCATCAGCGCCACTCTGAAATGAGAACTGGCCTCACCCTCACGGGACCTGGATGTACCAAGGTGAGCAGACCCTCTGGCTGCTGTCCTCTGGCTGCTGTGCATGCTGGCTGGCAAGAAGCCAGCTTAGCGTGACACAGACCAGCCAAGTTCCCGCCCCGCATAGTGCTTCTCAGCCTTGCTGCCCACTGCAGATACCCGGGAGGCGGCAGAAGATGCAGTCACCTGGCATCAGCGCACTGCCCCCGGGCATGGGGTCTGGCGGCGGCGCAGGCACTGAGCAGTGGTACAGCTTTCCAGGTGACTCCAGTACACAACCACACGTGGGAAGCAACTGCCCGGCCTACTCAGCGCCCAGTCCTGGGGGTGATGGGTTTTTAAACCCTGTGACTTCCTGCCTGGGAGGAGGGTGGACACTTGGCCAGATGGGTCCATTCCTGTTTCCGGAGGCTTTCTGTGTCCCTCCTTAGGGGCACTTTCCTTTGGCTGTGTGGCCACAACACCATTTATCAAATGTTCTTTGTCCTGACTCCCAGAGTTGACAAATCTTTTATCATCCAGGCAAATCCTTGTAGTAGCATTTACTTTTGGAAACTCTGCTCCACTCCACTTACACGTTGGCATAGTTCATGTCAGGTCTCTCTGTGTTTTATACTTTAACTGTATAAAAGATTGAGTCTGGTTGAATTATATCCTCTTTTTTTCCCCTGAAATAGTCATTTATGTTTCCTGTTTATTCTTGCAGACAAGCTATAGTCTTTTTAGGTCCAATTTCAGAAACTTATTTTGATTTGATTAACATTAGATCAAAATTTTAATCTAATGGGGGGGTGACATCTAGATGATACCCTCTCTTGCCAGACATAAAGTCACTCCATTTCTCCAAGTCTTCTTTTATAGTTCCATTAACTTCCATGTTTATTCATATTTGTTATTTTGCCTCCTGAACACTTTCCAGGTGAAACTCACTTCAGGGATCTTCTGAAAAGTTCTGTATTTTTGCCCATTTACTCACAACCCATAGAACTATCACGCTGTCTATATATTTCAGTGATTTCTTTGAATTTGTATTGATTCTAAAGGTTTAAGGATTCCACTGGACTTACCACATATATATATATATAATATTAAAATATCTGAAATTAATATTTCCCTCTTTTCCTGCCCAATATTTTTATCATTTATATCTATTTCTTTTTTTTCTATTTCTTTTTGATGCTTTAGTGTCAGGGCCAGAATTTCCAATAGTGTGAAATAGGTGCAGGTCCTGTGTGTTCCCCAGACAGAGGGGACCCTCGGGCTGGTTCTGAAGATGTCGATGTCGCAGGTCCCTGAGAAGGGGCATGGGAAGTAGCCCAGCCGCACTCAGGCCTGGAGAGGAGGGAGCAGGCGGTGAGCTGGAGATAGGAGTGGGGCTGGGTAGGGGGTGCACACATTCTTTCCTCAGTAGCAAGAAGGCTGGGCACACTTGGGGGGCCCCCACTGCACCCCTGCCACTGGCTGCTCTGGGCAGGGTGAGGCAAGGTAATACCTGTCCACTGCTGCCCGATGGCAGAGACATGGGCCTCAGTGAACTCCCAGTTGAATGCCAGCTTCTTCCACTCGTGAGGCCGCAGGTGCCTGGACGCCAGGCGCCACAGCACGGAGCGCAGCTGCTGCGTTTCCGGCCGATGGTCCTGCCTGAAGGTCAAGCTCTTGCCGCCTGGTGGTCGCAGGGAACCCTGCATGAAAGGTGTCCGTGGGGGGCAGATCCCAAAAGTGCAGCGGCCATGGAGGGGGCGCTCTGCCAGGCTCACCTTCATGAGGCTGGACAGTGGTGACAATGCTGCAGCCTGCCACCTCCGGCCACCCCTACTGAGCAGCCTGAGACCTGCAGTCAGCAGGGGCCACAGCCCAATGCCCACCACTCAGGGTCTAGCTCCCATCCTTGATTTGACCTCTGGAATCCCACTTACCTGAGTCTTTTTCCATCCCGAGTCCTTTCCTCACCTCCCTGCCCTCAACGCCACGCCACAGTCGAAAGACTGCTCTTCTGCTACCTACCCCATGGGGCCTTCCCAACTCCACTGGACAGAGGCTCCCTCTCATTTCTTGCTGTTCTCATCTGATTTTGTCTGGAGAGCTGAAGATGGAACCCAGGGCTCTGTGCATGCTGGGTAAGCACTGTGCCACCAAGCTGCACCCTTGCCTCTGCACTGCTTGTTTGTTTTTGTCTTGAGACAGTCTCACTATGTGGTTCCTCAAAGTCATGGTGATCCTCCTGCCTCAGCCTCTCAAGTGCTGGGATTACAGGCATGCACCACCACACCTAGCTTCCTTCCTTGCATTTTTATGGCGTTGCTGTCAATAGCGTGACTCCAAAGCTGAGGCCAAACCAGACAGGCCAAGCACTGGGCCCACTTAATCCTGACAAGGGAGGGACTACAGAGTCCTCTCTAGGCAAAGCAGCCAATAACATGAGAGGTAACAACAGAGTTAGGTAACAGCGGTAAAGGAAGCCCACAAAATCCTAAGCCTTTTGAAAAGGAACAGAAACAGAATTCTGGCTGTTAAAAACTCCAAGGTGAAAAATACCACTCTGGGACCCACAGCTCCAACTGTGACAACTTCATCAACAGCTCTGGCCAGTCACCCGGAGCTTGCGTCTCATCCAGGTGCCCAAAGTAGTCCCTTGAAAGCAATGTTTCCAGCCCTGTGGGTACAGATGCCATCCGAGGCCTGGCCCCTGCCCCACAGGGGCTGGCAGAACGGGTCTGGGGATGGGGAGGGGTGATCTGCGGTTCAGACACAAGCCCCTGCCTGCCTCCTGGGGAGACCCTGGGGTGCCTGAAGTGGCTTAGAATGAAGCAGAGATGAATCGCTTAGTCCAACCTGCAGTATTCCCATTAGGGGGTTCACGTAGAGGTCATGTGCTGTAGAACAGGGTCGGTACCATGGAAGAGCCTAGCTTCTCAGTGAGAAAGAGTGGCTTGGGATTCCCACGGGAATTCAGATCAATTCATTTTAGAACTGTGATTGTTTTGAGTGGTGTCAAGACACTGACTACAAGCAAGGGACTACTATATGAGGACACTGATGATAGCTGATGTTGTATACAGGTTAATTTAATAGATTTAATGGAACAATTTAGGAATTGAACCACCAGGCACGGTGGTGCATGACTATAATCCCAGCGCTTGGGAGGCAGAGGCAGAAGGATCATTCCAAATTCAAGTCCAAGTCCGGCCTGGGCTACAAAGTGAGCTCAAGGCCAGCCTGAACTGCATAGCGAGACCTTGTTTCAAAAAGACAAAAAAAAAAAAGAGTTCAAAAACCATCTGAAATACTTAAATCTATTATATAAAGTTATTTGTTCAGCATAAAATGTCTAAAATAGTTTAATTAAGTAGTTAAACATGAGACCAAATGTTCATCAAGAGGCTTTTCTGAATATGATCATTAAATGTTACTAGTTGTGGGCTGGGAGTGTTAGGAAGCTCAGTGGTGGGACCCTTCTCTGGTGTGCTCAAGGCCCTGGGTTTGATCCCTGTGTCACACACACACACACACACACACACACACACACACACACAAATACCTGTTCTATAAATGACATAATAAAATTTATAAATTAAATTTTAAAGTTTAAGAAAGCTAGGCTTTTAAGGAAGGACCATTTTGTATTTGTATATACAGAATAGTTAGGATAGATATACAGCTACTTTCGCTTAATTCAATGAGAAGAAAGTTTGTACTAATAGTGTTTGGACAGGATATTCTGTCTGCATCTTGTACTACGGATAACCGCTAAGAAGATAACAATGTACAATATATTCATTATTGAGACTGTCCTATTAATCAGTTTTGAAACTGTCTCATTGATATTTGTTTCTCAATAAAATAAAAGTAAAATTTTAAAAAGCTAGGTTTTTTAATTTTTAAGATAAAATAGGGGGGGCTGGGGAGATGGTTCAGTGGAATAAGTGCTTCCCTGGCAAGCACAAGGGCCCGAGTTTGATCCCCGGTTCCGCCAAAAAAAAAGAAAGAAGATAAAATAGGGGCTGGGGAGATGGCTTAGTGGAATAAACACTTCCCTGGCAAGCGCAAGGGCCTGAGTTCAATTCCCAGTTCCACCAAAAAAAAAGATAACATAAATTTTCAACTTAACAAATTTAGTAACAGTCAGGTATAGCAGCACACGCCTATAATCACAGCACACAGGAGGCTGAGAGTTTGTGGCCAGCCTATGGGCTACACAGTGACATAGTGAGCTCAAGGCCAGCCTGAACTACAGTATATAAAAAGACTGTCTCAAAACAACAACAACAAAGCCAATTTAATATTAATTTTGAAAACTAAAGTAAATGCAAAAACGTTCTGTGTAAAACACCCACCAGGATGCCAAAAACTCACTGTAATTTGCTGGCTGAACAGTTCTTACACAGTTTTAAGATCTCCTCCCCGGCCCCCCACACATAGACATTACCAATCAATCCCAGCACACTCTCCCCGTCCCTCTTTTCCATACCCACTGCAGACATCACCAATCCATCCCAGCATACTTTTCTTTCTGGCCTCAGAAAGGTGCTTAACTATAATAGCCCAAGAGCAAGTCCAAAGGCCTGGAGATGGTAGTAAGATGACCCCAACTTGCCATTTCCTTCTTCACCTGTGCATGTCCACACTCACACACACGCATTTGCCTGCCAGAAGCCACAGCAACATATCCACACGGGCAGGCCCTCCTGCTCCACTGTATATGGATGCCTTCCACCTCCAGATCCTTGGAGACCCCTTAGAGACTGAGAGGCCCCAGAATTGATCAGGGCCGGGACGCCAAGCCTGCTCCAGTCCAAACCAAGACTGTTCCCTCCCCAGCATGAAGACCACAGAGCTTGGGGCTTCCATACCTTCTCCCGTCTGTAGAGGCGATCGGCTTTGATGATCATGTCTGCCAGGGTGATGTGGTTGCTGCGGGCAGCCACTTCCAGGGCAGTCTTCCCTTGCTGCAGGCAAGCGGCAGAGGGAAGCCAGGGTTTCCACTGCACGGGTGCAGGGTGACCTCTGGCACTGAGTTTGAACCCTCCTGCCCAGGAAAACCATGCCTAGTGTCCACAGTGGAGAGCAAAATAGCTTTCCAGGCAAGACAGAAAAAGGATGTGGAGAAGAGACAGGTAGAATAAAGCCATAATAACAATTCCAGCAGCCACCTGTCCCATTTCTTTAGGATTTAGGAATTGTTAGACTCACTAGGTATGAAATTCGGCCCTTGCTAATTCTTCAGCCTCACCTGTAAGACGATAAAGGAAATAAAAACCCAAGTTTTCAAAAGAAGAAGGGGCTGTAGGCTCAGCCTGTCACACCTGCCTGCCTCCCCACAGGCCCTGGGCCCTCTGCCCCAGGCATCCCAGATGGCCACCAAGGACCTGCAGCTGCCCTAGGGCCCAGTCAAGCAGGAAGCCCCTTGCAGGACCACCCTCCCCCTGGCCCCCAACTCTGCCCTGCACCACAGGCCGGCCTCACAGTGGTGTGTTTTAATATCCTGTCCTCACAGGCGGGGACCTTGTCCCAAGCCTTCAGCTCTTCTGAGACCCCCCCAACCACCTGAGGAAGCAGCCACCAGGAAGAATATGGGGCTGGGGTGCAAGGGGTGTGGGGCAATGAGTTGGTCCTCCTGTTACCCCATGGCCCCCCAGGGTAACACAGGAAGCAGGAAGCAATCACAGCACAGGCTTTGGCCAGGCAAGGACCTTGGAGGAGAGAAGGGAGTGGGAGGTAGAAGGCTCCCTGGAGGAGGCTGAGGTACGAAGGATGGGTGGTCTCGGACACTCAGAGGAAGAAAGCTCCATAGCTGGGGCTCTGGCAAGGAGGGGCTGCAAAAGCTTGGCAGGGTGCCGGCTGGGTGCACAGGTACCTTATCTCGCAGGGTGAGGTCAGCCCCCGCGAAGAGGAGCATCTCTGCCACATCCTGCCAGGCGTGCTCCGCGGCCAGGTGGAGGGGCGTCTGCTGCCTCTGAGGAGAGGGCAGGCGAGGTGAGCACACAGGGCAGGCCGGCAGTCCAAAGCCAGGGGTGGGACATCCCCTTCCCTGGCATCTGGGCTGTTCCGGTGTGGGGCAGGGGCTGCGCCGAGCCTAATCATAAACAGTTCTTGAAAAGATCATCATTGAATACAAAAAGTGGGAAGGAGGAGGAAGAGGGAGTAACAGAGGAAGAGGAGGTAAAGGAGAAGAGACGGGGTGGGAGGAGACGAGGACTCGTAGCTCACTATCCTAAGTCAGTATCTACGATTATCCTAGTATAATTCTTCCGGTCTTTTTATAGATCTGAGATTATCCTATATATACATTTCCAATTTTATTTTCCCACCTAACATAACACTTTTCACTTATTACTAAATAATGCCTTTATTAACTCTGACACAGCCTATTTCTGTGAGTGCTATAATCTGCCTACTCGTTTTTTCTGTTATTAAATATTTGGGCTGAGCATGGTGGCCCACGCCTGTCATCCCAGCTACTACTTGGGAGGCTGACACAGGATAATCCCAAGTTCAAGGCCAGCGTGGGCAACATGGCAAGACCCTGCATCAAAGTTAAAAATAACGCAGGAACTGGGGGTGCAGCTCAGCGATGAAGCCCCTCCACTCAAGCCCCAGTACCATACACACAAATACTAACAATTACCTCAGGTCATCTTCAAGATGAGAAAAATAACGCAACAGTGAGATTTGGGGCGAGGGAAGGGATGCTGGGGGCAGAAGCCAGGGCCTTGTGCAGGCTAAGCCCACACCCCTACCACTGTTCTTTGGATATGAGTTTCCTTCTTGTTGTTGTTGTTGTTTTGAAACAGAGCCTCACTCAGTAGTCCAGACTGACCTTGAACTCAAAGGCTGGGCACAAACTTGTAGTAATCCTCCTGCCTCGGCCTCCTGAGC